TTAAGGGCGACTGGCAAACAGCTTTAGGCGCAATACCGCCCCTGGATTATATATAGTGTAATGGATACTGCCCTGAGTGACAGACTTTTTTCCCACTCATAAAAAAAGGCGTATTCGTTGTGACGTCCGAACCGTGACTGTTCGGGACGAATATGGATACTGTTACACCCCTATAAAGCATATATTTTTCCTCCTAGGATAAGTAAGATCAATACTCCTTCGCGACAGGCACTTGGTGAAGTTTTTAAATGGGGACAAACTTGGAAATATACATAATGGCGGGGGCATAAGCTTTCACCAGGGAATGAAGTTGTTGATATCATCATAACACGACTAGTTTTGCTAACTTTTGCCCACAAACTACAAGAGTTGTATCTTGTGGTCAAAGGTTTTTGTTCAGCAGTCGTTAGATGGAGGTTAATACCTCCGCCATGACACCAGCTGGTTTTATGTGATGGGGCTTCCATACTTGAGTTGACTTGCTGAACCAACCCCAGGACAATAAGCCAACATCTTTGTTGTTCTTCTTCTTCTGGCGTTTGTCTTTGGTATGTTCAGCTCCTGTCATGCGAGCCAGGCCAATGTGTCATTATCAATATCAGTCCTACAACGGTATCCATTTGCAGACCGCAAGAAGCATAGCTCTTTTAGGTCAAATGCTGAGGTCCAAGAACACTGCAGCTCAACATTGAAGGCATTAACACTGCCAAGAACAACAACAACATGTTACAACTTCACTGTTCACTGATGAAGAACCTAAAAAAGCTGGTCAGTTGAGTGAATATGATTTTCAAGGTTTGATATAAATCTGAATCATCTAACATGAACTATGTGTTTTCAGCTAGGCACAAAGGAAGGCTATCTGACGAAACAAGGAGCATTTGTGAAGGTAAGATCAGTGGAGCTGGTACACCTCACTGTGTCTCAAAGATAAACGAGTAGTTCTGTTTCTGATCAGACTTTTAATCTTTTGTGCAGAACTGGAAACAGAGATGGTTCACACTCAACAGATGTGAACTCAAATACTTCAAAGACAAAGGGGTGAATCTCTCTTTAGCCTAAAGGCGACGTTACTTCAAATATTTGATTACAGTATTTTGCTAATATTGAGTCTAATCTGCTCTTAGTCCTAGACAATCACTATTGGGACTTGTAGACAGTGTCTATCTCTGTTGCAGAGTGAGGAGCCCATCCGGACCGTGGACCTCAGAGCCTGCTCTGCAGTACAGTTTGACTACTCTCAGGAACGAGTCAACTGTTTCTGGTAGGTGATGTAGTGGTAGGACCTTATTCAGCACTGAGAGGCTGCATTACTGATTTTACATAAAGAGTGTGGCAATGTTTGTGTTTGCGTCGACTGTGGCTCGGAAGGTAGATGGTGTTCTACCAATCAGAAGGTCATTGGTGTGATCTTCAGCCCCTGCTCGGGCAAAAAAAACAGTGCAAGCTCTGCGTGTTTAACGCAGTGTTTAACAGTCTTATGGCCTGTGGGATGAAACTGTCTCTGAGTCTGGTCAATCAATCAATCAATGTTTATTTATATAGCCCAATATCACAAATGTTACATTTGTCTCAGTGGACTTCACAGTTTGTACAGAATATCAGTATGACAATTCGACACCCTCTGTCCTTAGACCCTCACATCGTACAAGGAAACACTTCCAGAGAAAACCTACAGTTTAAAGGGGAACATGGGAGAAACCTCAGGGAGAGCAACAGAGGAGGGATCCCTCTCCCAGGACGGACAGACGTGCAATAGATGCCGTGTGTAAATCAAAGAGATAATACATTTGCAACATAGGTAGACCAGATGTTTGGAAATGCAAGAAGATGAATCCATGAGGATGTCAACAATCCTGTGGGAGCCATCAGGGAAGTAGTATGGTGAGAATCAGGCAGGACCGCAGAGACAGGTTCAGCCACGACTCGAAGTCCGGGACTCAGATCCAGAACTCAGGATAGAGGATCCAGGACACACAACCACAGCAACAGGATTAGCTTCGACTCAGGATCCAGGCGTAGATATAGACACCAAAAAGAAATTTGGGGGAAGCTGGGTTATTTGGAACATGAGAGTACACAGGTACAGATAGACAGAAGGAAGAAGTAAGGTGTCCCCCGACAGTCCAAGCCTATAGCAGCTAAACTAACGTGTCTATTTACATGCACTCCCTTAGGATAAGTTGAGGGAAAGGGGTAGCAAGTAAGAAGTAAGGATCAGAGGCGGAGAGGCACAACGTGTCTACATGCACTCCCTTAGGATAGGGTGAGGGAAAATAGTAGGAACTAAGATGTATGCGCCACATCTATACCATGAGCACATTGCTCCTAAAAAAAGTGTTTGGCACTGACACCAATCAACAGTTGTGCGTCGATTCGGCAGGGATCAAGGCACGTGTATGCCTCTCCCTGCTTCCACTGTTTACACACACATAGTCCTGATGCTGCGGTACCGCCTGCCAGACGGCAGCAGACAGAACAGTTTGTGGCTGGGGTGATGGGGGTCTTTGATAATCCTGTGGGCTTGTCCATATTGAACCTCAGCCTGCGGAGGAAGAAGAGCCGCTGTTTTGGTGATGGTGTTTGTGTGATGAGTCCATGTCAGGTCCTCAGTGATGCGGACACCGAGGAACCTGAAGCTGTCGTGTGTAAGTAGGGAGTAGAGGAGAGGGCTGAGCACGCAGCCTTGAGGGGCTCCGGTGTTGAGGATTTATAGTGCTGTGCAATTTCTCACCTAAAACTCAATTTTACAAAATGCAGTTTGAACAAAACTTGATCAAAATAATTGAACCTTTCACCTATACAAATGTTTACAGCAAAGACCTCGAACATATCATAATGTATCTGAATGGAACCGAGTAGGACCGTGCTGCCCTGTGCCTTCTAAGGCCCCGGCCCCACGAGGACGCATACGGCTAAACGCATAGGATTAACGCAAACGCAATCGCAAAAAAGCTTCCGTCCACACGCAATG